CAATTTTGTATAACGGATAACTGAAGAGACAACATGTGAAATAACAATACATTCATTTATTGCAAACTGTGTACAGAGTTACTAACAATTAGGTACTCCTTTAGGCGAGCAATATGATGCAAATACTGCAAAATAATTTGAGAACGTCTATTAACATTAATATAATACAGGTAAAGCTAAGTTTCAAAGCCGCCTTTTGTCCTTGACTAGATCATTCTTATTATCACAAAAAAAATCATTTGAACTATTTGTATGTAATAAACTAGCTGTTCCCGTGCGACTTCATCCGCATGAAATTATGAAAATTTTATTATATTGTTTACATTTGTCAAATTATCAATTACAAATGTCAAAATGACATGACATGATGACAAACCATGGCAACTTTACTTCCTTGATGTTGGCAACAACTTATGGTCTCTTTCCCACATTAGAGTTTTTGACCAAAATATTTATCCAGAAAGTATAATGGCGTGAAAATATATAGCTAAAGCGTGACGTAAGTGTAAGGCTTTTTATTAAAAAAAGTGTTATTCGAAAATATGCTGTGATTGCTGACATCCTAGGCAACAAAGAAGTTTGTCTTTACACTTTATTATAATAGTATTATGTAATAAATTACTCGTATAGCATTAAATACTGGCAATATCTGTGGCTTTTCTTATGTTCTTGGGCTTAAACTATATTATGTTTTATTCGATCGTAATTTTAGCTGCTTGTTTGCAATATTTCGGATGCATTATTTTATGTTTGTTAACCTCTTGATCACGATCCCACATGAAAAAGTGATGATGCAGTCGAAATTTAGCTTAATAGGTAGCTGTTTACTCTTCTTTTGAAGGCCCCCACGTTATATTTGGACGGAAATCCTGAGACCAGCAACTTGTTCCAGTCCCTTGCAGTACGCACAAAGAACGACGATTCAAACTTTTTCGTTCGAACTCACATAATGCGTGAATAAAAATTTCAAATATGAAACTATATGTGAAAAGAATTATTTATTTATTTTTCATTAAATATTGCATTAGAAGTAATATTGCATCATTGTTTAACGATTTCTTCATTAGAGGGGCGCTCTATTTGTACTTTGCCGCAGTCCTCCTCGGATGGTTCTCATTCTAACTAAAGAAAAATATTAATAAATGAATATAGAACATTTTCCGCTATGAAATTAATATTTTCCAGAGAAAAATATGTAAGCAATATGAACCTAAAATTAGAACAAAAAAAAATGTTTAAACCTACTTTAA